CTTATTGTTTTGTCTTATATAGTGAATAATTCATCAAGTAGGAGGTGAATTAATTCCTTTATATGATTGAATGGCATATTGGGCTTGCTCCCTGCTTAATGATTTTATTTACTAAAAAGCAAAACATTAAGTCATTCATTCCAGCCAATTAAACTGCTATTTAAGGGGCCGTTTGGTAAGGGGTCTGAATCCCAATTACACAGAACTCAAATGGCTAGTCCCATGGGAGTATCTTCAAAATGCTGAACTTATTGAAATTTCTATAGTTTTTTGTCCATATTCCATCTAGTACAGAATTGGACCCAAATTGCAGAACCCAGATATTTGTCTAATTGATCCTCCAATCTGCCCCCCTATATCCCCTGGTCCACCAAAACAGTAATAAGTCTCTCCACCCAAGCCGCGCCAATGAAATATTTGGCAAGGCAAAGCAAAGCAAAGCGATGTCATTCCCGAACTCTTTGGTAGAAACTGTAAAATAACCATAGTAATTATGAACGACCTGAAACTAGAATCGTTTTTGGCCAATGGTTAGCCCGTTTTGATAAAAAGTAAAAAAAAAAATTAAAAAATAATAACTAAAATTAAAAAAGAAATGGTCAAAAGCCATTGAATGGGTCAAATGGGTCAACGATTCGATTGCCCGAATCAATGGACTATTGGTCAATTCAATATTTTTTTGTCAGAGACTAGGTTTGGGGTAAAATGAAACCAATTGACTGAACAATTCCGAGCCAAATGATCTGACCGTCCGAATCAACAATGGTTCAAAAACATTAATAATTATAAGTCGAAAGAAGGATTTGTGTCAAAACCATTAGATGCGGTTTCAGGACTCTGGGAGTAATTAACTCTTTATTCAAGTGACCTGAAGATTCGGACTCAAAAAACAGCCTTTTGGTCATTTACATATTTTCTCACCAAAATTAATTGGCACACTAGTTAATTGATGGTCTAAGAGATATTAGGGTGCCAGGCTGTGGACGTACTAATGGAAGAGAACATACTAGGAAGTAGGAGGAGATAGGAATGCGCTTCCTTTTTCTCCTTTTAAACTGGGCTAGCAGGAATGCATTTTTGAGTCATGTCTATACTATGTAAGCTTGTTTACAAAGCAAGGTTGTTGTCCACCTGACACTTGCTCTCCTTTCTTCCCCTTTTTTATTTATTTTTTAATTTTGTCTTTCTTCATTCCTCTTTTCCGACCCTTCAATTAAGCCAAGTCACCATGGGTCTACTATATCTTATTAGACCACATCACCCAATGTTTTCAAATTGGCATTAACTTAAACCATTCAATCGTCATCCAGCCATAATTCCGGGTCCAGCTTTCATAAAACCTAGGAATTTGATCAAAATTCATCTGACCCAGGTGGTTGAACCACCCCTACAACCTATCAGTAGGTCACATATTGACATTAAATGTATATGAAAATTTCCAGAGGCCATAACTTTGCACTCAAGTGTCTAATTAGAGTGATCTTATTTTTAGCAATTTTTCGAGAGCCATAATACTTATATATACATATATTACATGTATAATATAATTATACATTATTTTATTGATAAAATACATATTTATATTATGTAGGTTTACATGTTTATTGATACTAAGGCTGTGTTTGGTTTGAAGGAAAAAGTAGGGAAAGGGAAATATAGGGAAACCTTTACAATTTCCCTTCAAAAGTTTCCCTACATTTCCCTTCCTTTCCCCACTTTTTCCTTCAAACCAAACAATCATAAATGTATATGCTAATGTTGCACAGTTGAATTGGTGATCCACATTCTGGAGGTAAAAATGATTCAGCCTTTGGACTTTTTTGAAACATTGATTTCATCTTGAAGGACAACTTATTCTACTTCTTCTAGTTTTAAAATCTACTTACATATACTTTATTGAGCTTTCAAACGCCAAGTCTAACAGATAAAAACTACAAGGACCAAAGAATGCTTTTAACTGTCAATTAAAATTTCAAAATCTCTCTCTCCTTTTTCTTCTTCTAATTACCTTTCACTCTCCGCCATTGCAAACACCAACGAACAACAACAGCAGTTCCAGAGCGGTAATAGGTGTCCTCTAAATAGGTAGTCAGATTGCATTGAAGCTTCAACATGGAAGCAATATGACTGTCGTGTAGGGAGGATTCCTGCTTAATTAATTCAACCTGTAAACATTTTCCACACACAGAGAGAGGGGCATAAATTCTCCACCCCTCAAATCTTTCTTTATGGTGTTTGGGTATAAAGTTTGCTGCAGGTTAAATAAACTGGGAAAAACCAGTTCCAATGATTACATAAATGGATACCGCTCAAACCTCCGAAATCTAACAAACCAGCTGGGTCCAATAGCATCATGTGAGCATCCTACAAGAAGACCGGATCATTCATTTGTATTAATTGAGGCAAATTATTTGTCATCTCTTATTGTTCATCAATAGACGCTTTTGTGATAGAATTAGATCTTTTAAACGCTTTTCTTGGTTTCTTAAAGCAAAAGTGCAAAACAAACCGAATACTCAGACACTGTATCGACCAACCCTTCCTTATCCCTCCTAAATTTACTATTGATAAAGAAAATGCCGATATAATCAAATAGCTAACTAACAGTAGAAAAAGGCTAAAAGCATTATATTAGTGATGAGATGATGCCCGTTATCATTTATCACGGATTCACGGGATATGATTAGTAGCACAGCAGCTGCTTCCCATATAACAGTATGATGTAAAGGATCTGTTTGACCAGCAAACACAAATTGTAATGTAAATTACTACTGGTTGGTAAACAGAAACCTTTGCGGAAATGGCCAGAACTATTACAAATTCCTCATGTTTGCAATTTTCTTTCACAATCATTTTATACAAACAAATATCACAAGTCGCTTGTTTGGGTGGCATTGGCTGGATCTGGATGCAGGGAAGTTCATCTCTGCTTGTTAGCACAGCTGGAAAAGCTAAGCTAAACGTATTACTGATTGAAACGACTAACAATAGAAAAAACAAACCATTTAATATGTTATGGTAATGTGGACTGATCAACAGTTTTATAGTATTTTCTAAAGCATGTATTGTCTCTTAGAAATTAAACCATACACAGCTGTAGACTCGACCAAAAGGAAGATCTGGATTGGCGTAGTTAATTCCAACTAATGAAATTTAGATTGAGTGGAGAACACAATAATGATTCCCACTCTCTTTTTTATTCGGTCTTCTATTAATTCTGCACTAACTGAGATGTTTTAAGGAAATTCAGGTGATAAGCTTAGCAGTCTATATGCTAGGTAGTTTTTATTAATGACCCAAAGCAACTAGTAACAATGGTGAAAATAACAGGGGATGAAGATTCTGAACTATTGGGTCAATGGCAAAATTATATGTAAGGGGGGAGGAAGAATCTTGTCTCCGAAAGTATATCAGCTTGTTGCAGAATGAAGACAGTGGATATAGGTTACTTTTAATATATCTTCTCTTGGAATGAGGAATCTAGCAGGTCACTACAATAATCACTTAAACAGAGGAGATATTTACTGAGTTGTGATTAAGGCAGGGAATCTATGTATAAGGAATAGATCAAGATTGGACTCTTTCTAGATGAGCCTGATTTGTCCGACATGTGAGTGTGAATTGGACTGGATTTGGTCCAATCCGATCCAGTCCAATGTGAGTCCATTATAAATGGACCAGGTCCAATCCAAGGAATAATGCCTGGAGCGTCCAATCTGTTCAAATGCATTTTGATTTAGATTGGTTTCAACCCAAACTCAGTCCATTGACACCTATATTCTTATCTTATATCAATGGACTAGATATTGGCTTAATCCAACCCAATCCAATATAAATTTATTACAGATGGACCAGGTCCAATCCAATCTAATAAATATTTTGGACAGGATTGGTCCAATCCAATATGTCTTATTATTGGTCCATCCAATAAGAGTTGGTTATTACTATGAACTCCATCTACAAACTTGATGAAGAGCTGGGAGGTGGTAGGCTTTCTTCCATATCCCTAGAGTTCTTTCATTTCCTTGCTTTTCCTTTCCTTTTATATTTCTAAATTATATTTTCTTTCTTTCTTGTGGTCAATGTAAGGGTTCCTTGTTCTGTTGGGAGTATCTAAAAGTTGGTTGTTTTTGGAAAGCTCTTAATGAAACCTCGTTGTCCACAGTACAAAGCCAATAAGTTTGAGATGTGTGCTCATCTCTCTCTCATCAAGAATAACAATGAAGGTATACAAAGCCAATAAGTTTGAGATCTGTAAAGCCATCTTTTATGCTAAGAAGGTATACTAATTTGGAAAATATGATTGGACTTATGAAATGACCTCAGTTTATAGTTAATGTAATTAACATAATTTCACAATTAAGCATACAACATTTAACAATAAATAAACAAAATAAAAATTGGTACAAATATTTTATTTTTTATTTTCAGATAAGGAATTCCTTTTCATAAGTCATAACCCCCCATTTCCTTGTAACTGGTCTCTTGTGCATAGACATACATGTATACATACAGATGCAAATATCAAGACACAGAGACAGATGAACAGACCTCAAGTTGAATGTTCATGTAGACAGAAACATTCATATTACTGATATACATACATCATAGAATAATTTTACAATAGATATAAAACAATTAATCTATATGCTTGCACGATTATGTTCTGTTACCAAACGGTCCAAACCCATATCATATAAACCAAAATGTTTTATATGATCAAGCAATGTTTTCCAATAACTAAGCTCAACCCTCAACTGTAGCAGAACTACTTTCATAGAACAATTTAGTGCTCGTTTGGGAGGGATTTCATGCAATGGCTTCAGGCTTTGCAAGGTAGATCCCACACGGAAAGCCCTCAAGTCATGTTTGGGGAAAAACCCACTTCTCTGAGGCAGTTCAGTCTACGTAGCTCAATCAATGCTAAAGCCCTACCAAACGAGGTATTAGTAACACTAGAACAAAGGTCTTTTTTTGTTAATATGACTCAAATGGGGTGNTAAAGACCTCAAACACGTCTTAGAGTCTGTCTATAAGAAACCCAAGAACAAAAACTTAATGACCAAATAAAGTACACATGTTGACTCGAGACCAAGTTTCATACACAGTTTTAACAGCTATACTGCAAAAAATCAACTAGGTTGCATGGATTCTTCTAGAAGACAAAGTACTTATCAAGTTCATACCGGTAATTGCCTAGTGTAATGGTAAAAACTCAGGCTGACAAACATGAGAACACATGTTCAAGTCTGAGAGCAATCACTTTGTGAAAAGGAAAGAAAAAACAAGGGTTGGGTCTGATCCAACATGATCAACCTTATTTTGCAATATGGAAGTGCATAGACTGATTCAAGCCTTCCATTAAATAGGGCAGCCTCTAGACTGACCATATGTTCAATACCTATGTTCACATCATCATTGTACCACATCTTGTATTGGTATTTTCCCAGGGAGATAAACTACCCAAAGTTTTACTTTTAATATTTCCTGTTTAGGTGCCATCCATTCATCATATACATCTTTTTTTTTTTTTTATGAATATCCCACCATTATCTGCATCTTCTCTACAATTCATCCGCTAGACAACACCCAATGAGAGGTTTCTACCATATATAATGGGACATGTTAGCCTCTAAATTTCAAAAATTCTTGGATTCCTTTCTCCCCATAAGCTCCATAATATTGCTACTCTACCATAATACCACATTGCTTTTTCAATCATTGATATTGATCCAAAAAAGGGAGATATGAATGCACTTGGGTTTGTTTTGTTTACTCCAACTTGATTATTTAAAGTATGGGGTTTTAGGTTGAAGTGGGTTGTGGGTTCATAGATTACTATAAAGGATAGAAATGAATAATTTCTAATCCATTTCAGCTATTCACCTAGTCTTTTTCTTGTTGTCTAAAAGGACCATAAGCTAATGTTGGTCTCAGCTATTTAGGGTCTTGGGAGGTTTGGAGTACTAGAGTGAATACAGACCTAACCTTGGGCATCAAACCAATTAAGGATTGGTGCCAAGTATGTCCAAGACATGACTTTAGGTGGTAAGAGTAAAGTGTCACAGGGTGTGTTGGAGATTTAACTGAAGGCTATTGGAGTGAGTTCTCCATAAAATAATCTAATAGATAAGTTTGAAGACAAATTCAAACACCATCAAGGCTATGACCTTCCAATTTGAGTGGGTTTCTAACCCACTTAGGCCCCGTTTCCAATGAATAAAGAGCCAAATGCTGCAAGACTATAGACACTCAAATGGTTGTATCATCTTGAACCTTGAGTAGTTGTGCTCCAAGACCTCCATCACCTCTAATGAATGATTTGTAGGCACACTAACAATTATTCAAAAATTCATAAATAACTAAACAAAACTTGTAGAAATTAAAACAAAAAGTAGCCACTAATGTAAAATTCATTTCCCCTTATCTAAATTATTTTGGATAAGAAAGTTTTCCAGATCTACTCATTTCTATATGTAGAACTATGAATTTAGGATAGTGGAAAACATATTATTAACATAAAAGGCCAAACTAGACTATCATCGTTAATGATAAGTTTCTCATCAACTACAACCTTGAGATGACTAGGAAGGAATAAATTAAATCAACAGTTGGAAATGGTTCCTCTATAAACTCATTATGTAAATAGTACACCAGCAATCAAGAATCTCAATCGAATTATATGTAAACCAAGAAAATCAATATATCATATGAACATGATGAGTTTCCCAGTTCCCCAATAGAAACCATAGGTTTTGCAAATAACACTAGAGCTTGAGCAATATATCATAAGTACTAGAAATTTACAACAAAGACTTGGGAAAGTCCACGAAGTGAGGAATATCAAAGAAAATAGACACATGGCCTATATAATTCATAATTCAAAAAATGGTGCTATTTATGTTCAAATGATAGCTTATTTAATGTAGCCCACGCAGAAGTCAAAGAGAATAAGTCCTTGAATAATGCATGCCTGGAATTGAAAATGCATCTTGGCTCATTGACATGTGTACAAATCTCTCTCCCTTCCTCGAGTTCGGGACTGCAGTCCCCAGCAGGGTTCTCAAAAGAACTACATTGGAAAATCTATTACAGAGCTGATCTCAAAATGAGGTAACAAAGAACCCAAAAAAGAACTAGGAAACTCTAGTCCAATTTTTATAGGGAAAAATTAAAAAAAAAAAAATTATTAAAAGAAAACAATAGAAAGGACAAAAGAAGGGCACAAGATTATCAGCCCAACACAAGCAAACAAGTCAACATGGCAAGGACCAAAACAATAACATTACATTTATATACAAAAGAAAGCCACTTGTTTTGACCCACTCAACAATCTATCCTTAACTGAACGCCTTCTGATTTGGAATCATGAGGCAATAAAAGAAGAATACTTCAGCTGTTGCTGAAGAAAGACCAACGGCCCCAAGTCTGATAGAAGGACCAATATCTCCTTTGTTGGAGAAAAGATGGCACAATCACAACAGCAAGCTCAACTCAATTCACAGATTGTGAGAGACAAAAATTAATAAAAAAAAATAAGACAAAGGCTAAGATTAAATTAGGCAAAAAGAGACCAATAATAGTAAAACAAGCTCATTGGATTGAACAACATATCATCACAAGACTAGGCCACTACATATACATGAGATCCCCAGAAGTTTGATTTAATCTCATGGAATATAATGGATCCATAGCCAGACTTGACGAATGTCTATAAATATAGCTAAGGGGTGCATGAATCCTCTACAGTTGACTTAGAGGAAACCCTGATTCATACTACATGAATGAAAGTTGGAAGCCGCACATGTTGAAAGGCCTTAGGCTAAAACTCTAATGAGGTATAACACTCCTAACAATCAATACAAAACTAAGATTTAACTTTAAAAATACCTGAAATATGAATTCGTCCATCGATTCCAACCATGCACTCCAATAACCCTAAAGAAACCCCAGAATCAAAGGTCCCAAATCGAAGAACCTAAGCACAATAATTGCTAAAATAAATCAAAAGGAAAAGAGACTTGTAATATCCTAAACAAACCCCACAAATCCAAACTAACAAATTTTCTATAAAAATGAACAATAACCATACACAGAAGTACCAAATTAAGCTCAACTCACAACAATCAAAATAAATCAATAGAACCTAAAAAGAAACAAAAATAGAGAACAAGCATAGGTTTGAAAAAAAAAATAGTCGGTAATTAATGGTTCTCCTGAGAAGATAAGAAGGAATACATGAATTGAAATTAAACTAACCAGCTCCAAGCATGAGAGAAGGACCAATGGGTCATCCATTGTAGAAGATACGACACAGCCAAACTCAAAGTATCTAGCTTGCAAGAGATTAAAACAAATAAGAAATATTCTAGCAAAAGCCAAGATTTGATGAAGGGGAGAACACAATAATTTTAAGCGAAGAAATTAGGGTTCTATCGTGGTGGCTTCCGCTAAATGGTTCTTGGTAGACTGGCAGGAGACGTGCGTTGCCAAAGAGGAGAATGGGCGCAGGAATAAATTGGTATCCACACACCATTTTTGTTGCATACTTTCTCTTCGGTGAAGTTAAATCTAAAACATTGATGTTGAAGTGAAATAAATGGTAAATGGTTAAAATAAATTGTTGATATAATGGTGTTTAAAGGTGATTTAAATGGCAATTTAATAAATGCCACTTAAAAATTATATATTTAGCGGCAATTTAAATTTATTTTTAACGACATTTTAATAACTGCCACTTAATATATATAATGGCGTTTTTTATATGGATATAATGGCATTTTAAAAGATAATATATAGTGGCGATAAAATAAATGCCACTAAGAAAAACGCCATTAAAGCTTCACTTTCTTGTAGTGTTTGTTCATGCTTGGAAGACCTGATGATGGGAGGAGCAAAGGGCAAAACCCCAATTTCAGAGAGAAGAGAGTGGAACCAAAGAAGCTTAGAGGAGGCATTGGCAAGACTCTGATATTTGGATTGGGTACAAAACTTGGAGACGATTGCTTGCTTGAAAGAAGTCCAGGAGATTAAATTGCCGCCTATAAATATATAAAAACATCCTCCTTTGAAAGCATCGATCATCGGGGCAGCCAATCTAGTCAACATCAGAAAAGGCATGAAGGCGAGAAGAGGAAGGTGTAATAGCAAGACCAAAATCAAGTGTGCCTTTGAGGTAGGTATCGTAAGATACATTTAACAGCAATCATGTGAAGAGAAGTGGACGAATGGAAGAACTGGCACACTTAGTTTACCACAAAGCATATATCAGGTTGAGTAAACATCAAGTACACTGCAAGACGCCTACAAGACGATGGAGAGAAGTAAATTAGTTGTACCTAATAATGTTTTAAAGGTGATGCAGAGATAATGATAAATTACATTGTTTCAAGTATGAGGATTACACTGTATTTATAGATTTAGAACGATGAAATCAACCAATCTCAAATTCTATCCCAAACCCATCATAATCCATCTCATCCTTATCTCATGATAAGAAACCAAATCTTAGTTTCTTGGGCACTCACATGGTTGATGCTATTGGAGGTTGATTCTTTAGTTTCGATAGGACTACTGGACTAGCTCTTCTCTAATTTACAAGGGACACACAAAAAGAAAGAAATTAAACAAACAATGGTAGCACTCACACAATATAAGGCACGCGTGGATGAAAACTATTTGTTTTTGAAGGATTGTCACGACCTTTGAAACTCATAGATAGATACGAATGAAAAGATGAGAAGAATGCTTGAACACATTGGAGAAATACATATAAAACTAAATTAAAGCTGAATTAACCATTAATAAACTATAAGCACATGATAATGCGCAATTTTAATAGTTTTACATGAAGATAAAATTACAAACAACAATATTGGGACTCTAAATCATATAAATATCATACAAAAATATTGCTAATAACATCAAACAGTGTTCAAGTTTTTAATCTAATAAATATGCTTTCATTTTTAACATAATTTTTAATTAATTAATTATTAATATAAATTGCTTAAGACATATAAAATGTATATATTTTTTAATTTTTTAACTTTTTAAAAAAGAACTATAAATCTAACTACAAGTCTACAAAATAAAAATTAAATTTCGGCACTAAAACATTTACATAAATAAATAAAGTAGAAAAAGTAAAACATACCTTTTCTTTTACTTGTTTAAATGGGAAAATGGGGGAGACCTCCTCCTCTTCTTCTCAGACTATAATCATTTTCAATGGTCAAATGCATAGTAATAAAGTGAAAAAAAAAAACCCAAAATAAATAAAAAAATTGTCAAAAAAGGGTTGGGTGCACGATTGGCTGATTCGTAAGACTAGTAGCGTGCCCTGTACTCATCCTTGTGGATATGGATACAACACACCTCATATCTGTAATATTGTATTGATGTTATTTTTGGTAGAAAATTGTATTGATGTTTTGATCGTTGCTGATTCAGTTCAATTCATTTTGGCAATTAGGCCCCCTTGTAATGGAAATTCAAGTAAAGATAAATTTTGTTTGGACATTGACACACCACATGGCAAGTATTTGTGCAATTCTGGGGATAAATTAATTGCTTTGTGTTCAATTTGGGAGTAAATTGCTTTATCAATGGATTTGTTTGTCGAGGCCTAAATTGGAAATCATTGTGGAAGCCAAAACACTCCATACCTCGAATAAAAATGTTGACTACCAAAAAAAGAGTAAAAATGTTTGTGGAAATCATGCCTTAGGCTCACTTTTGGAGAAGTGCAAATACAAGACTTAGAAATAATGTATATATGTATAGTGTAAATGCAAAATTTTAAAATACAATATATTAGGATTTGTACTATACATATTTGTATTTGTACTCTTCCCAAGTTGAACCTAAGGTTTTGCAATGTATACATTTGCAGTTGTACTTAGACCTGTTCATGGGCCGGGTAGCCCGATGGTCCGGCCCGGCCCACACCTTGGTCGGGCTTGGTCATGTAATTAGGCCTGTGGGCCTAACCTCGGGCCTAACATAGTAAGCTCGACTGTGTTACAGGCCGGGCTCGGGATTTGTCAAAAAAGCCCGGCCTAGCCCGACTTAACATTATATATTTTATAAAATACATAATATGTATTTTATATATTATACAAAATATATAAATAATATAATATTTATTGAAATATATATATATATATATTTTTATAATTTAATATATACATTTTTTTATTTTTTTCTTTATAATTTCTCTCTCACTCTCTCACTCTCTCACTCTCTCTCTATTCAGCCGCTTCAGCAGTAGTAACAACATGGACTAAATTTCAGGCTCGGACCCAGGCCCGGGCTTCGGGCTTTTTATGAGGGCCGGGCTCAGGCTTGGGCCTTAAAAAAATCTGTTAATACAAAGTGAAAGCTCAGCCCGGCTCATGAACAGGTCTAGTTGTACTCTTCCCAATAGAGTTGTAAAGTGGGTCATGCCTGACCCAGCATGTTATTGTACCAATTGGGCCATGTTGGGCTTGGATTTTGAGGCCTACAGGCCAGCACAAACAAGTGGGATGTATTGGCACAAGCTCGTTGCATAAGCCATGTCAGCCAACCTGCTAAATATAGTCGTTGGGGGCATCCGCCAACAACTATTTTTTTCTTTTTGGGGTTTTTTACATAAACAATTAGTTAGTGGGGGCATTTATGTATTTTGGCTTTGTGGGGAGAAAATGACAATAATATCCCCCTAACAACTATAAAATAGCTAGTTTGAGGGCATTTGGGTAAAGTGATAATTAACTTTATGAAAGACTAAAGTATTCCTCCTAATAACTATAAAATGGCTAATTTTAAGGGTATTTTGGTCAGTTAAATTAATTCTAATTCCTATAAATACCCTTGCACTCAATCATTCTCATCACACCAATTCTAATACTCTCTTATACTCTTATATACTCTCATATGCACACTCTCATACACTCACATACTCTCTCATACCCTTGCTTCCTAGTCCCTAATTTTCGACTTTATTCAAGTTTTAACAAGAAGAAGGCTTGCTTAAATATCTCAAGTTAGCAATTTGAGAGGCTTAGAAGCTTTATCACTTAAAACAAAGTTGGGATTCTAGATCGGGTAAGTTGCAGTTAAATTAATTTTCATTTTTTTAGTTTAATTAATACTATAATTTTTTAAAAATGGTTGATTCCTCTCAAAATCAATTTCCTAACATGTTTGTCTTTAATGATGTCCAGTCACAGTACAACAACACCGATATAGGTGATAGTGGTTTTATAGTTGATGTTGTTTGAGCCGCTACCCCTAGTACTGCTACTAGGGAAAAGAAAAGGCTAAGCTGACTGGCCTAGTTTGGGAAATATTTACTATAGAAAATGTTAAGGGGAAGGGAAGAAGATTGTTTGCGTAAATGTAAGAGTGATTTTAGTTATAGTAGCAAGGGTGGTTCTAGCAATTTGGCTAAACATAAGGCCACCGAAATAAAAAATAAAGATAATGAAAATCAACCACAAATTGGGTGTGTTTTTTGGTAATTTTCAATATTCTCAAGAACAAATGATACAAGAATTATCTAAATGTATTGTACATTTGATCAACCATTTTTATTAACTGAAGACATTAGGGTAAAAGGATTTTTACAACAATCTGTAAATCCCTAATTTAAAATGTTTATAGAAATACAATTAAAGCAGATTCTTTACAAATTTTTATTTATATAACCAAGATTTATTTTTTTACTTTGTCAACTCTTAATTCTAAAATTACACTTACATATAATATTTGGACTTTCAAATATAATATAAGTTATATTTATGCTAGTAGACATTTTATTGATGAGCATTGACTTTTACAAAGAAAAAAAAATCAGGTTTTACAAGACTTGAATGGCCACATACTGGCCCAGCATTTTCTACAAGTATAATAAATATTTTACATACTTACAGAATTGAAAATAAAGTTTTTCTATTAGTTTTGATATTGTTAGTAAATTATTTCATATTAGATGTACATGTCATATCTTAAATTTATGTGTTTAAGATTCTTTAAATATTATTTTTCATCATATTTCTAAAACTAGAAAATGTATTATGTATATTAGAAGTTATAGTATAAGAAAACAAAAATTTAAATATTTATGTCAAAAATATGGTTTAAAATATTAAAATTTTGTATTAGATGTTTAACATAGGAATTCTACCTATTCTATGTTAGAAAGTTTTATTTCAAACAAAGATATTCTTACTAATTTTTATAATGAGAAAATGCCCCATGATTTTATAATTGATGAAGATTGAGAAATGACAATTTGTATAAAAGAATTTTTATAAATTTTTATGATATAACTAATGAATTTTCAGGTGTTTATTACCCAACTTCTTGTATTTAGTTAGTCATTTATTTTATGATTAGTGAATATTTTTTAAAACATTGAATTAATTTAAATTTTAATAATATTATTTATATAGTGAAAGTTAAATTTAAAAAATATTGAGAAAATATTTCTCCTCTATATTGCTTAGCTACAATACTAGATCTTAGGACTAGAAAATATGGTTTAGGTGTTTTACTTAAATCTTATTGTAAAAATATGAGAACTGAAATT